ATATATACAGTATACAGTATGCAGTATATATATAAAATAAGCAAGTAATGAAAGAATGAGAGAAATTAAATGTTAAAGTGCAGGAGCTTCACAAATCGTTTTCTAAAATGTCTCATGGGTTTTCTAACAGATCTGATCTTTGAATCTGTAGGTGTTTAATCAGAAATCTTTTCATATTCCTGTAGATGAGACTGTCGGTGCTACAGCTAGCTGCTGCTGTCTGAGCTGACACATAACCACTGTTTTTTTAAATCAAGGAAGGACTACCGTACCTTCAACTCCTGAACTCAGATCATAGTCTGTCGAGAAATGATGTATTTATAGCTGTTTTAGTCAAATCTTATAATGAACACCATGTGTTATCCAGGGGCGGAGCTAGGCTTTTTTGCAAGGGGTGGCCAAGGTTTATATTTTTTTAGCGGGGCACATACAAATAAAGAAAAGCACTCTGGATTTTAAAATTCAAGATGGCTGCCAAAGCTAATTCCAAACGCCTTTTAATTCAGCTGTTTTAAGAAATATTGGGCTGAAATTTTGTGTCATCATAGCTAAGAATAATAAAAAAAAACATGCTGAATTCTAGTCACAACTTATTTTCAGCTATTTTTAGACATACAAAGCTGAAGATTGTGGTCGAAGTAGCTGAAAATAATCTTTACTTAACTCTAAATGCTAATCAAATATTTTAAGATGGCCACTCCAGCTAACTTTAAAAAGGCTAATTTTTAAAACTTACTGAGATGAAATTTGCCATGGAGTCACTAAGAATGATCACATGCTGATTACTAAATGCTAATCCCACATTAAGCTAACGACTGACACTAATGCTAATTTTACAAAGAGTATTCAGCCATTTTAAACATTTACAGCTAAAACAAATTATCGAAATAACTGTAAAAGTGACAGACATGTTTGTGTTTTCAAAGGCCAGCTGGCCCTGGCAGCCATCTTGGATTAGATCAACAACTTAGATGTAGAGTCAAAATTTATTTCTTGAAAGTTTTATTAAAATTCATTCAGTGGTTCATGAGGCATTATTGTTACGATATTGATGAGTTACGGGACACAAAGTTATAGTGTAAAGGTCTATAGTGTAGAACAGCTGTTAGCATGTTAGCATGTCATAAACCAACTCCAAACTGAGGCTGAGCTATCTACAGCAGGTAAGACGTTCACTGTTCACAACTTTTATACAAAACCTCCACTTAAAAATAACTGAACTATCATTTGATCCTTTTTAACATTTTTCGACTTTTAGTTTCCTTTTTGTGTGTTTCTGAGCGGATCAGGGTGTTCATCTCTTCTTGTGTTGTGGATGTATTTAAAAGCCTCAGTCACATGAGGCTGCTGTGTTTTTAACTTGATCCACTTGTTTTGGTTCTGAACTGAATCTCTGCAGGTTCTGCAGATTAGACTCACTCTAGTGGCCTTTTGTGGAACTGCAGGTTTTTATAATTCAAGGTTTTTCTTTCAGCTGCTGCCTTCGAAATAAAAAAACAAATCAGAACAAAACAAAAACAGACACTTAAGATAATGAAGCACGAACTCATCATCAGCTGCATGTTAATATTAACATGTATGTTTGATCAGTCAGTCTGATCCAGTCGTGTGGGCACACATCAGGGAGTGAGACACTGTTGACTGATGCAGAGAATGTCTGATGACCCAAACATCCTTATTTTTTTTATTTGAATGCACTTTAGAGACCCCGCCCGTCCTGAGGTACGTTAGGCTCAAAGCAAAGAGAACACAGAGAAAATTAAATGTAGAGTTTCAGTTCTTACATTTTTATTTGAAATATATTCTTTTTTATCATCATAACCATCCATTCTTTCATTTCGACTTTTCATTGTTTTTTCTTTAGCTGAAGGAAGAAAAACTGAATAATAGTTCAGTTAAAGCCAAAGTAATTTCCTGTACCATAAAAACCTGCTTTGATGTTTTAACTGAGAAAAGGCTTTTTTTTTTTTTTACATTTTAAATTAATGAGGTTCTTGTTCATAGGAAAGAGACATAAATGTCCAACAAACTGTATCAATGTGTTTGTTCAATCAGCTGTTTGCAGTAAAACTAGATTTGGAGACTTTAACTGTTTCTGTTGTTTTTTGTTCCAACACTGGTTGTTTCAGTTCTTGTTCTTTGGATGGTTTCAGATCAGAAGTTTGTCATAACGTTAAAGTCTCTTATTCAGTGCATCTGGAAAATCATCACTCCTTCATTTGGTCTTATTCCAAAATGTCTAACAGATTATCATGTATAAACAACACATTTAAGTGGACCTGCTCAGCTCTGGCAGCTTCATGTGGTGCAGAACGTGGAAGTGGTCTACCTCAGTCAGCAGTTAAACGGTTGAAGCTGGACAAAGAGCAGTGTTTCCCAAAGTTGGGGTCGGGACCCAAAGTGGGGTCCCGAAACATCAAGGTGGGGTCCTGAAAAGATTTTCTGAATTAATGACATTTTTGCCTTAGTTGTTACAAAGGAGTGAGGTTAGTGTATTTAAAATGGATAAATGTAGTATAAAAATATTGTTACTATGCCCATGTTTTGTTGACCTGATACAAATGTTTATCATCCAAAAATAGTTGGGGCCACAGGTCCCTGCTACTGTTTTGTACCATTCTGTGGGTCAAAAGCTGAAAAGTTTGGGAACCACTGCACTTTGGTTCCCAAAGTTGGGCTTGGGACCCAATTATGGGTCATGAAGCACCTTGGATAATCTCCAAAAATCAATTTAAAGGGTAATAAAATAATTACTGATGTAATAGTTTCCCTATAATTATTACAAAAACACAAAATAAGTAAAAAATAAGTATTTATATTTGTGTACAAGCTGTTTAGATTGTCAAAAAGCCTGTGTTTTTAGGGTTATTAACAAAGTTCGTGTACTCAGACCAGTAATATTTGGGGTCACAAGTTTTTGCCATGAATATTTTGTGGGTCAGAAGATAAAAAGTTTGGGAACCACTGACATAGAGTGTTCAGACAGACCGGAGCAACGCCCTCGTCACTACAGAGACTCTGCTTCGTCAGTCAGACTTCCAATCACTTGTGAAGAAAACTCCAAGAACAAGTGGAGGAAGTTAAAATGCTGGGAGTCATCACTGATCAGACGTTATCCTCACATTTCCACATGACTGGGACTAAAAGCAGAGGTGATGCGATGGTTCACAGAATGCCCAAATTTTTGACCTGTGTAGTGAAAAAGTTGGTGTTAGTCTTTGGTTTTCTGACATCTGGATAACTGCTCAGATAAACTACAAATAATTCAGAACAAAGTAAGACAAGCACTTGGCTGTATTTTCAGAACCCATGTAGACTTTATGTGATGAAGTTTGTCATGGTTGAATAAAGGATAGACACGTTTGTAGTCTTTTATTTTTGCACAGGATCTGGATTTTTCTAGCCTGGCTCTTGTTTTCCTACACAGCTCCACTCAATTCTAGTTTTCCCTCTGCAGCTCCGTCTGGGATTTCTCCCATAGACAAGGATTTCAACATGTGGAATTTCAACGGGGCCAATCAGTGAACAGGAGTTTTGAACGACAAAGTTGATTTTCTGCGTCGTTTTAGTCTTTAGTTCAGCAATGTCAGCGGAGGAAGTGAATGAAGCCAGTCTGTGTTGACAAGGCTTCCAAATTAAATTGAATTTGTCTGGCAAAGCAGCAGCTCTCATTTACGGCCATCTTGTCCGACTTCGTACTTCTCTCTTCACAGTAGGAGATGGTTATTTGCAGCGCATGCAGTTTCCGGTTAGCTTCGTAGCTTAGCATCCTTAACGGTCGAGCTTGCGCACATACGTCACGGCCAAATGTTAGCGATTGGGTAAATCAGATCGAATCATTTTATACTTAAACAGGGTCCACGCCTCCAGCAACAAATTAGTTTTCAATATCCAAGAGTCCAGACTACATCTCCCATAATGCAATGTTAATTATTTTACCTGCCAATTATGAAATCCCACCACTAGGTGGAGCTGTACAGAGTTCAAAGGAAGCCGGCAGCTGGCCGTGTAAAATCTACATTTTGCTGCATTTTTGCCAGCAATTTTTGCTGCAGCCTAATTGAACTGAGAAGTGGGAACATCCTACTTACAAGTCGTCAATTTAAATTGGAACGCCCCTCAAGTGGGAGTTCCCTGTCAGTAAGTGGGAGAACTCAGAATTTAAGATGGCAACTACTTACTACAACTCATTAGTGAGTAAAATGCTTTTTAATTACATTTTTAATGGTATTTCTGTAATATTTATGTCACGTCATCCATGTAGTACTTTTCACTGTTTATAATAAGATGTGTTAAACACTGTTTCTATGCAGTAAATACCATGTAGAGCTCGGTTAGTGTTTGTTAGGGCTGACTCAGGGGAAACTTTCCTCCCTGAGACCCCGAGCTTCTCAAACCAAACGCCCGACTCAGAAACAACGAGCAGATTTTTATGTGACGTTTTATTATTTGTGCTCAAAAGACATTTTTTTTTTATTTCAGCTTATGGTACAGATGAAAACAAAGCTGGACTAAATGTTCCTGTACACGTGTAGAGACAACTCCACTGTTCGAATAAACAAACAAAGGATGGAAAAACGACAAATAAAGGTGGGCTCAGGTGGGCTGGGAGCGGAGGTGAAAACGATGGAGGTTGAACTCATTTCTTATGGCTTACAGAGGACACAGGACATCCTGGGTTTCTACAGATCTATGACTTATTGCCACATCCCGTTCACTTTGAAACAAGTGGAGGGTTCAAAACCAAACTGTTTACAAACATTTATTTACAAGGTTTGTTTGTATTAGTCGAATATTTAATCACTGTACAAGCGTCAGACCACGTACACCAATCTATAGAGCATTTAAACTACTAACTCTTATTTACAAATATATTTGGTAAAACCCTGATTCATTTTAACAGTATTTAAACCAACCTTGCAACTAACAGCTGAGAAAACACTTGAATATTTCAAAATACTTAATAGCAAAAAGAAGAAAAAGCCTGATTGTTTCTTCCTCATTTCTAGGACAGAAATTCGCGTTTTTTTTTTTCAACTTTCGGACCACCAAACGACTGAGTGTTGGAGGCAGGTTCCACCTCGTTGACGTTTCCTGCCTCAGAACACGCAGGCTGAAACACTGGAATTAAGGCAACAGGAAGAAAGATCTGCTGCTTCATCTTCAGTCTGTCGAGTGTGTTCACCTGCGATCCGTCACATTTTTCAAAAACTGTAAGAGAATAAAACTATGGTCCCCAAGAACACAGCTGTGGTACAGTGGAACAGATAACAAGTACAAATCAAAGGTCGTCAGGTCTTTACATCATGGGGGGAGGTGGATGGAGGGGTGTGTGTGGGGAGGGGGGTCTACTGGTTGTTGTTGCTCTCATGCAGGTCTCTGTGGAGGATCCAGATGTCTCTGTGAGACTGGCTGCTGTCGTTCATGTTGTTCCTGCGGTTGTTGTTGTTGCTGCTGCTTGAAGGAACCTGCTTCGTTCTCCTGCTGCTGCTGCTGGGGGGCGTCTGGACCGGACTCTGGTTGTTGTTGCTGACAGCGGCGGGGGCTCGTGTCTGCTGCCCTCTGCTGCTCGGGACGGGGAGCTGCGACTTGCTGCGGGAGGCTAAACGCCGCTCGGAGCTGCTGCTGGGCGACGGGCTGAGCACGGCCTGCAGGGGGAGACAGAGAGCAGACCTGTTCACACTGTTCAACACGACCTGGTCCACTGCAGGGGGGGCAGAGGTGTAAAGTAACTAAGTACAAATACTTCTTTACTGTACTTAAATAGAATTTTTGGGTATCTGTACTTTACTTGAGTGATTATTTTTCAGCCTACTTTTTACTTCTACTTCTTACATTTTCACACTATTATCTGTACTTTCTACTCCTTACATTTTTTAAAAAGGCAAGAAGTAGAAACTTGTTAATTTTATTTCATTTTTGCTTTTTTTCGTTCCAGCTTGTTATTGTAAAAAATAAATACTATCCATATAAACTGTGCCTCCTATAGAGTGAATTTAACTATGGTTGAATGAGAAGTATAAATATATAAAACTCTGATACTGTATTAGTTTGTACACAAACAAATCTTGTCACACTCCAGCAGGACATAATCATTAAAAACAAAAGTACTGTACTTAAGAAGTATTTGTATTTCATGAATTATGCATTTGCCAGCAGCCCTCATAGATTTTCATTTTGTGGAAAAGTTTTCTGCAGCCTTGATATATGTATATAAACTGAAACTACCTGACTAGTGCATCTTAAATTTAACATAAATTAATTATTTTGAAACAACAGTCATTTCTGTATTGTTTTGAGGAGGTCACCTCCTAATAAATATAATTACAAAAAATCTAACTGCTCATAAATCAATACTTTTACATTTGATACTTAAGTACAAAAAATATCAGATATTTCAAGACTTTTACTTAAGTAATGTTCCCAAAGGAGACTTTAACTTTTACCAAAGTAATCTTTTGGTAAGATACTTGTACTTTTACTCAAGTATCACCTTGTGGTACTTTATACAACACTGTACAAAAGTACATGACTGTTGCGTAAGTGTTAACTGTAAGTGGATTTGTAGCTAACTTGACAGTAATAATGAATAATAATGTGCTTAAATTTTGAGAACACAGTTTATCTCAAGTTCCCTTTTCTCTCTAATCTTTACTCGTTCACTCTGTTCCCACGTTAATGTTTAATCGCTTGTGGGCCATAAATGCGCAACAGTCTTGTGCAATTTTCTGCCTTCTGCAGGACATTGTAACATTCCTGTAGAATGAGCACTCAATACTAATAATATGTCGTTTGTTCTAAACTTTAATGACGTAGCCTTCTTAAAAAGGATAGGCCTTCTTTTTAAAAGTATTTAAAGTAACTTGTTTTAACACGTTTTGCTCAGAGCGCTCTCAGCTTACCTGTGTAAACTTACAAAACCTCGTCACATTCAGCCGTTTTAGCATTTCAAAGCATCTACCACTAATATATACGTGGAGTTACATCTATTTGCAACATTACCTTTGACTTGCTAACATTACCTGCTCCTCGTGACGTGACAGCTACTAGTAAGCAGGCTAAAAAAATGTGCTTAGAACGAAAAACTCCCTCATAATGAACCCAAGACGTTTAGATAAGACTTACCTTAGGTGTGCTGCTCTTCTTTGACAAAGTGCAACTACTTCCTCACGCTGCTTTGCCCGCAAATGTGGTCAGTTTAAGCTCGAGGCTAACATTCGCTAGCTGATTCGGTGACCATCAGGTTTCACGAGCTACCCTCATCTTGGTTTCCACAGTAACAATGAGGGGCGTGGCCGTAAAGTGACGGCTATGACGCAACGAAACAACTTTCTCGGTGGTACCTATTTCTCAACCATGTTGTTGTAACAAAAAAAGACAAATAACGTTTTGGAAGGAAAAAAAAACTATTGCTCAGCCTCTACCAGAGTCAGTAACATGTAAGTAAATTATATTAC